GTACGTGCATATACTTACTTATAATGGTATCTTGTAACGACTGCCATGTTAATTAAAAGTTTAAGGAGTAAAGTAGGAAAACTATGTCCCAAGTTCAAAGCTGGATATGCATTTCTTTTTTTAATTAAGCTGAAGGAGAAAATCGAGGTCCTTTTAACGAAACCATAAACTACAATGAACATTTTGATTGGAGATGGGAGCAAGGCAGATTAGGTTTCGGGATATTTGGTAGGTATCTAGAAGTTAAGGTATATAACGGTTATACATGTAAGTTGTAAGTAATATTGGTATATATAACTTAAGTTTATCATTAGAAATATTGGTGCATGTATATAGTTGTCCCGCCCACAACCTCGCGGATTGAATAGGCTTAATGAAGGATTTAAGGCCATGGAAATAATATCTTTGATTAGGAGTACATTGATGATTTAAATAATTTTTAAAGGATTATTAATGAACATATATTAATAACATTTTCAGTTTTTAGCGAAAAGTCAGTAACTGTATAGTGTTCATATCAAGTTTAAAAAAATTTTTTAAAAAATGTTAGAAAAGTACATGAACGTGCAAAACTCTAGTCAATCGAAATACCCCCTCTAATGGTTATAAAGTTGTATAAACATGTATTGAAAATATTTCCCCATCGTTTCTAAACTACATTTAGCTGTCACTATAAATATTCCAATTCAAACATTTTTGTAGCTGGGCGTTTTAACCAGGAGTTTCGAGCCCGTCAATTCCGAGGAACTCCCTTTCCCATCATCTGGATTGCTGAGTATTTTATATTTGACGGGGAGGGGGTCAGATGGGGGCGACATTACAGACAAGCAGGATGGTACGCCCATATCATGATGTGGTAAGTAGAGATTGTTATACTATGACCAATTTAATTAATTTTTCCAAACCTTTGAAGTAATGATTAAATATTAATAAGTCTGTATTGTCTCCAAGCAACCAATGCTTATTATACCCCCGTTTGAAAAGTGGGAGTGTGTATAGTGTCCATCTGTCCACCCGTTACACTTTGGGGTACCAATCTCTTATCCCCAACTCCTCGTATACCACTGAAAAAAATTTAATGATACTTGTCTTCACAGGTTCTTTATAACATAATGCCACTGTGCATCTCCTTTTTAATTTTTTCTGACACTTATTTCGGGTCTTCCAGAGCAAAACATGGACTTTGCCATTGTTATCACTAAAATGACATATGGGAGGTGGGGTATCCTTACTGAGTCCATTGCTCACAGTACCTGTAGCTTAAAACAGAATTCAGCAATTTAAGGAGAATTTTTATTGATTTTCAGGTTGGCTCTTCCTCTCTGGGTTTTGACAATAATCCTGTTCTTCATTCTTTTGAAATATGGCGCGTATTTCCTCATGTTGACCGGCGGAGTAATGGTTATAGCCAACATTATCTGGGCCACCCTTAGGAATCCCTTCGAATTACTTATTCCTTTCAGCGCTGAACACAAGTTAGAATTCCATTTTGGAGCATCTTTTTACCTGAATTTGTTTACAGGTTTGTACAACTTGATTCCTTATTGTGAGACCATTAATTTTTTCCGATCTACGAAACTCTCCATGAAGAGGTAATTCATTTCAGTTTTACATCATTTTAGAAATTGTCATATGTCAGCAAATACAATCTATGATTCAGTCGAATGCTGATAGACGATTTTCATACAAATTTTTACCTAATCCATTGCACACTGAATTGTCTACGCCTGTTTTCCCTTTTACCAATCATGGCAAGAAACACAAGATGGGTGTGATCGTTTAACAGGGTGAAGGTGCTCCTTCATGGCACTTGATCCAACTTTTGATGACGTTAGAAAACCATTTTTGCCCTGTTCCCAATTTGTTTTGTTAAAGTGACTTTGGATCTCCTTATTTCATCGAGATTGGCACGTTAAAAAACAAAATGATGTCATTAATTTTTTTTTTGCATTAATAGGTATTACTGTTTTTTTCTATAACTAAAAGTAATGGCAACAATTACTATTTAACTTTTCAGGCCTTCTATGTATTATTCTGGGCGCTGTAATCTGGTTCCTTGATCTCCGATTCCCGGAACTAATCACCAATTTCTTTGGTGTTGATCCTTTACAGGATGACAATTTTATACAAGGTGAGAGATAAAAAAATTCTGATGGCAAAAATTTTTAATCCCATTTTCTAACATACTAGTATTTTAATTTCCTTTTTCAAAAATAGAAGATAGTCTCAGCCCCGACGAAAAAATGAACGGTTTGGAAATGACTGGCATAGACAACGGACAACCACACAATAGTCACGAAGACAGGTATCGGAAACCGATACCAGTTCCAACGCCCGATGACGCGGAAGAATATGAAGAAGACGATATTTACGAGCTTCCGGTACGACAAACGAAACTATTTATCACTGACATGCGTATTAATATATTATTATTAAGTTACATTGGTTTTATATAATACTAAATGAAAATCATTCTTATGAAGTAATCATACTAAGGAATAATTATTTTATCTCTGTTGCGCGCTTTTCATCTTTTTGGAAAATCCTTCTCAAAATAATGGTTGGTTAGAGGGAATTATCATTTTATTGCGTTTCATTGAAGGTGTTTGAGCCGAAGCCAGCAAAATCTAACAAGTTTGGGAAGCGCAAGTCACGTGGTCTAACTCAACGTCTGCAGAAACCAAGACGTCGAAGTACACCGGACATCCCGGAATAAATCTGACATTAAACCGCTTGTTTAAAAAATATTATATATCCCCGAAACATCTATTAGTCTCTCTCTCTTCTTTAACTCAATTTTTATATGCATGATCAACCTTTCTTAGATTGTCAATATACCCGGTATATTATTAATAGGCGCCGTTTTGGTATTTACTGGCAAAAAGTGATATCACCTATTCGAATACTAGTATTTGAAAAGGTGATATCACCTATTGGAATAAGTAACATCACTCATTCAAATTGAATAGGTGATATTACCTATTCGAAAAGGTGATATCACCTATTCAATGAATACTCCCTAGACTATCTAGAATTCCACTGTAACCAAGAAAATTGTGACTGCGTACAATGTAGTTTACACCTTTATTTTAGTCCAATACTTTATAAATTCCTTATGTTACGGGTCCCTGTTAATTTATATAAGAAGATGGGTGAACAAGGCGGGCAGAATGCCTATAGCGTCAGATATTAAGAAATCATATTAAAAATTTGAATTGGTTATTTAAATTAACTTCTAATTATTGAAATTTTTGAAATTATGAGGGAAAAAAACTTTTCTGAGAGAGAAAAAATCTCGTAAAAAATTTTCTTTCATAAAATTGTTAGATGGTACTCCTGGGATTCGAACCCTAGCAATAAAAATCTGACGTATCAATAGCATACTGCTTTGAGACTAACGCGTTAACCACCATGCTACACCGCTCATGGTGACTGTAGGCATTGATATGACCCGCGACTTGATGGACTTGAAGTATTTCTCGGAAAGATGCTAATGTTGTGTCATAAAATTGTACTTTTAAAGTATAGTGGGTCTTCGCTCCATAATTTTGAAAACCAAAAAACGTGTATTTTATAGCAAACTTTTAGGATCATCTTTCAAAAAAATGGAGAGAAGACCTACTCATATTGAAAAAAATTGTTTAAGTATGAGAAAATGATCGTTTTTGTTCTTTTTAGTGTGTGCAAGCATTTTCATCAGCAAATATTTTCAGTCTTTGAAAGATTTTGGTAAATTGTAGAGATTTTACATTAAGTATACTTTAATATTAAATGAAATATCCAGTAAAATTTGGATTCAATTGAGATTAAAATTTTCACTTCTTATCTGTCGCACTATAGGCATTCTGCCCGCCTTATTCACCTATCTTCTTTAAAAAAAATTCCCATCTGGAGTACAACACAATGGCATACCGGTACCTTTCACTCTTTATAATATTTAGGGGCATTTTCTCTATAGAATATTTATCATAAGTTTTTCAGAATTTTAATTTTTTTTTATAGTATACATGATAGCTAAGTGTTATAAATTAATTTGTTAGCAAACCAAACTACAAGTTCTGCTGGGCAGCTTTGAACTAAATGCAAAGCTGTAATGATTAATCCATTGTCTCCTAGAACGATGAGAACTTTATAAAAACGAAAGTGAAAATAAATGAGATTTAAAAACCTAAAGCCTTGGGAGCTGTTGTTATTTCATAAATAATTTGAATAGGTGATATCACCTTTTCGAATAAGTGATGTACCCTATTCGAATAGGTGATATATCAAATAAATGATATCCCTATTCGAATATGTGATATCACATTTTGGCAGTAAATACCAAAAACGGCGCCTCGTAGTATTCTTTAATCCAACATAAACAAGCATATTCAGGCACTTTAATTAAATAATATTGAAAAAAAAATTTTCAAGTATTGTCGAATCATTAAAAGTTTTGGCTCCGCAAGATTAAAAAAAATGGACATTAAGAAATTATGACATTATTTAGGCTTGTTTATGAAGCATTTTCATTTGGGAGAAGGGGGGAGGGGGGGGGGGCTCAACAATGTTGGCAAAATTATTGGAGGGTCCAACCACCCCTCACGCTGCACAGACCTGTGCTTCGCTTGCAAACAATTCCCTGTTATGATGAAATAATATTTTTGAATTTTTACAGATATCTTATATTTTGTACATACCTTTCTATGCAGGGAGTTTATCCTGTCGGCTCGATTAAAATAAAAATCATTGTCGGAGATGCATTAGTTGTGAAGAGAAGCTGTTGTCGATATATAAATTTATACGAGTATGATTTGATTTTTATACTTTTTCCGGCTGAAAATTAAGATATCATCATTTCCTAATGTACAATAACCTATAATTTCTTTTATTTCATTAAATTAATCCTATTTGTTGTTGGTTTTTATATCTAATGAGTACTGACAAGTCTCGCACCATTCCCTACATATATAAGAAAAAAATCTTATACAATGTATTTGAAAAATTAAAAATTACTACATAAGATAAGTGCATGTACTTCCGTTTGCATCATAAGTTGCGGATAAAATCAACAGTCGCCTCATTTTGATGTAGTTTTACTTCAGAGAAAACAGGTTTTTTTCCTTATTTTAAGGAACACAATTTTTAAAGGTATGTTTTTTTAATAGGGATTTAAAGAAAAGTTTTTGCCTAAGTGTGAAAATTGCTTTGAAGTTATGTTTTTGCCGTTGTACATGTAATAATATAGTTTTTAGAAAATGCTTGTGCATATTTAAAAAATCCCCAGCATGGGAAGTTCTTGCAGCATGTGATTAAGAAATGTCCGAATACACTCATTAAAAAAATATCTTTGACCCTTAAAAAAAATATCAAATAAAAAGCTATATATAAAATGTCTTATCTATATTAAGTAGTAATTTTTTTTAAACAAAAAAGGTCATTTTATAGCGATTCAAGTCTTTTTATATACAGTTAAACGATATTTTAAAAAAGGGCTAATTTCAGTAATTTTTATTTTAGTAGATGTATTCAGACATAGTAAAAATACACTATTCTGAAATCAAGTGCCTATGATTGCAAGAACATTGTAATTTCAGATGTTACTTCTGGTTAAGTTAGTAACAAATCAGTCTATAGATCTTAATACTTCTATTAGAGCCTTCATTATTTGTGCGATAACGGATGTGAAAACAAGGCTTTGATTTGTAGCAAGCAACAAACCTAAAGAAAAACCTACCTTTCTTTGATGAGGACAATTTTTCATGCTATGAAATCGCTATGAAATCCTTTTACAAATGAGATTTTTTTTTTGGGGGGGGGGGGGTTATCAAGCATGGAAGTACAATATTTTTTGGCTGAAGGTATGTTGGAGTAAAGAGACAACTTTTGATAGGAATGTTCAGAAGCTTTACCATAATCCTTAAAATAATTTTCATACTCTTACTTTCTTAAAATATTTTGCAAAATGAGACGTAGAAACACAGCTAAATTTTGGACAGCCAAGGGTTGGATCAGATAGTAAACCTTGGTTAGTGAAGACAACTGCTGCACGATCACATATCCGATGTTACGATCAAAGTTGTGAGTTCATTTCCTTTCCTCCAGAAAAAAACCTGATTTTTACGGAAGCTTATCTCGTCGATGAGGAAGGATTGTTTTGAAGGACGTTCAAAATTGATGTATGTTAAAAGTAACAACGACTCTAATATTTTTTAAAAATATATTTTTATCCTTCCTTTAACCATTTACATGTATTTTTTTCCCTATGAAATATAGTTCAATCATATTAATAACATTGCATATATTGATCGGTGGCAGAAGGACTTGTTATTTGATAATCAACTGGCATGCAATTGCCAATTTATATTGTTGTAAATTATACTAGCAATACACGGGTAAATTTTGGGTTAATCAAAAATAAATGTCTAGTATGAGTATTGGTTAAAGAACAATCTGACAATGATTATTGCTAATACATAAAGTTCTTATTGTAAAATATAATATGTTCCAGTTTTTATATATAATAAAATACTCAAAAATAGACATTAATTTCTTATTTATAGTGGGAGGTCAGACTCTATTCTCAGTTTATCATCAATTCATTGAATCACGGTTGAGTAAACAAAAAGTTAAAGCGAAAACAAGACATATGCAAACTCTAAGGTCAAGAGATCAAAAATATTATCCAAATATAGGACCAACCGACCAAAAGTTATGGCCAGGGTTAAATTTCTTTTTTTAAGTGGGTTATATTCCAAGATCAAATTTTAAAAGTGTGCCAAAAATATATTGATGTCAAAGAGAGTGTCTTTTCATATGAAACGCACATTGTATGTGAGGTATAATTATGTATTTATAAAAACCCTAGTACCAACTGTTTAAAAGTTATGACCAAGGCAACTGTTTTTTTTTTCAAAAGTAAATCAAACTCCAATGTCAAACATTAAAAATGGTATGTATCCCCAAAAGACCTTGTTACAAGGAAAAAACCCGTGGAATATGAAAGCCTTAGTATTAACTATTCAGGGGTTAGGGCAAAGGTGAAAGGTAAAGTTAGGATCAAAGGTTAAAAGGTGAAAAACATTTATACCCAAGAAAAGGCTTTGGATACAATGGATACACATATGAAGCATGAAATCCCTAGCACCAACTGTTTTAAAAGTTATGGCTTAGATTAAACTTTGGAATTTTTTGCGAAAGTGGATCAAACTCGAAGGCTAAGGTCAAGAAGCTAATGTGTTGGTACCCAATAAAAGTCTTCTTCAGTGGAATACACTCGTAAAAATATAAGCCCAAGCACCAACCAATCAAAGGTTATTGGCACGGTTAAAAGGTTTTTGTGGTCAAAGAGATAGCTAGACAAAGAGACGGACGGGCATGGCATAAACTACATCCCTTCGAATCTTCGATAACGGAAGCATAATAAAATATATTTGCTTCTATTTTCATTATTAATAGATTTGATCAGGATTTTGAAGCAGAGCTAACATGAACTCCCCTGGACTTTTTGACGCCTTCCGGTCCAATGGCGGTCCGACCTACTACGAGTCCTTCAAAACGCCTTGGATGGCGGACATCTTGGATGCTGGATTAATTTATGCATTTCTTAGTTTAGGTTTTTCTTTCTTTATCATCCTTCCTGGGATTCGTGGGAAAGAGGTTGGTTTCAATAGAAATATTTATAACATTTTAAAGCCAAAAACTTCTGTCTTATACTTGTAAATGGTCTTATAAATATTATTTTTTGCTCTCATTGCATCATTTATTTTTTTAGAGAATATATACGTTCATTCGCATAGCATTGACGCTTTATATTGGAGGGGTCATAGTATGTGAGTTTGATTATATTTACTTTAATTAAAACGATGTCTGTTTACAAGATATTTAATAAAAATTAAAAATATGTCATCTTTATGAAAAAGTGTGAATTATTAATATTTATTGATATTGTGTTATGGCGAAAATTGATTAGACAGTCTCAATGAAGTACAAGAATAAATTTTTGTTTTTAACACTGAAATATTTTATATTAACATTTCGTAAAACTCTAATTCTTTCAACTGATTTATGAAGCACAGTTCAACATTAATGATTTTGCATTAATCATATATATATAATGATGATTTTTTTTTCAAATCTTTATTATTACCACTGTCGGCATTTCAAAGGCTTCTACGCCCAAGTTTTCTTTCAAAAAAGAATAATATGAACATAAAAAGAAGGACCAAATTCTCTGTTTTTAGTATGTAACTTCAGCACCGAATGGGAGGTTGCAGAAGCCACCAATGTAAGAACAAAATACAAGGCTGGCTCATCAGGGGAGATTACTGCCGATATCGGGGTCCACATTGGTTTTAGGGGCATCAACATCACACTCAAAGGTAAGTAGTAGTTACCCCATATCATACTGTTGGTTATGTGTAGATACCCGATGGGCGTGGTCATAATGACACGAGGGAGCGTAACTCCCGAGCTGTCATTATGACCACGCCCATCGGGTATCCACAAATAATCAACAGTGTGATATGGGGTAAATGACTTGTACCATATTTTTCAAAAATCATTCATATGTAAGTCAGCTTAGGAATCGGTCGGACTGGTTCGCGTGATTGAAACATCAAGTGTTTGGTTTCAAATATGCATTTAGATTTTATATGATTTTACGCTCCTTCGTGTCCTTCTGACTACGTCCATCGAATATAGGTAAGTGATTTGTATACAATATACTTTTCAAATTTTGCTACAAATTTTGTCCTATACTCGGCACTCAGGGTCATTGAACAGTGAGGGATTTTCCTGTCAACACCTTCTGCGACACGGGACCTATGTTTATACTTTATAGGTCTCCACGTCATGCAGTGGGATTCAACTCCTTACTTCGTGACTCTAGGGCAGGTGCTTAAACCACTGGGCCACGCAAGCGACATAAAAATTAAACATCTAGGCCCGCTGAAAAAGTTTGATTTATGTTATTGAAAAATAACGAGTTTGGTTTCAATGATATATGTTAATTTGATATGATTTTTTTTTCTCTCGTAAATTTCAATCGTCAAAATTACATAGTAATTTAAATTTATTATGAACTTGGTTTAACTTAAATTTTTGTAAACCTGATACAAACTTTGCCGTGCACAGTGGTACGTTGATTGGAATGTTTGTAAGGGGTTATGTATGTTTCAATTAAATGAAAATTAGATCTTTGATCGGCTAGATCGAAAAGGTTATTTATGTACAGTAGTGTACACTTGTTTTTACGTCAAGTATGTACCGTGTTTCCTTTGTTGGTTATCAAAAGAACGATAAATTGAAATCTACTAAGCTAACGTCACCCTGTTTATTACACTATTTAAATTTTTTTTTTTTAAATAAAGCGATTTCTGAAGTTTTTTTTTTCACTTTTAACTAAGGTTAAAGTATTAATGGCCGTTTTTAACTGTTATTTATTACAAAATGCTGTATACAATTGAAAATATACTCTCCTAAATTTGGTATGATTGTTTCATTTAAAAACCGTGCATGATCGTTTTATAAATATACTGACACGCAAAAGAAACGCAACATCCTACTTTAGGGGGAAATAATTATGTAAAGCAAAAAAATTTGTATCTTAAAATTATGGATATCTTCACTTTGGTAAACATCGGTAATTTAATGGTTGAACGATTTTCGTACCATAACCGGAAGTCAAGTTTGAGTCTGCTTAACAAAAATCAAAAATTGCAAGTTTAACAAAATATTTGGCAATATTATGGAGTTTTAAGGGTTTTAACTGTTCATCACAAGTAATGCAGCAATATTTCAAAAAATAAACTCTCCTTTCGTTTCCCGTAACGATGCTAAGGCTTCTTGAAAATGGCTTAATTATGTTCCCCAAACGAAGTTGGGGAACATATTGTTTTTACTGTTTCTTATTATTAAGGTCTTCCGTTTCAGACGGAAGACCTTATAGTGATTCTACTGTTTCTTATTATTTTTTTTTCCCCTTTCACCCTTTTCTTTTTTTGACGATTTCTCAGAGATGACTGGACGGATTCTCATGAAATTTTCAGAGATGATAGAGAATAAAAATATATTTCAAATGCAGTTTACAGTTTTTCAAAATTCACTTCCGGTCGTCAGATTTGTCCGATTTCCGCTTTTTTCAAAAAAGTTTTGTCCGAGTCATATCTCAGAAACGGTAAGAGATTAAGACACCAAACTTATATGAGTAATAGATCTTGATAAGTAGGCAAAACCAATTGGGTTAACATTGTCTGCCGTCACTTCCGGTCGTCACAGGAAGTGATCAAATAAATCAAAAATTTGAACTTTTTCTTTTTTGAAACTTTTTTGCATTACATAATAGCATCTTATATGTAGTTTCGAAATATGTCAGTCCCACCGGAAATGAAAACGACAACTTCCGGTTATAAGAGAAAAACTGCATAATTTGAGTATTTTTCTTTCCCATAAATATTTTTTTATATATAAAGTATTTGTAAAGATGTTTGGATATGTTATTAAGACTGCAAATGTCTAAAGTAAAGTCAAACATCTTTGTAAAATTCACTTCCGGTCGCGTGATTTTCTGTCCTCAAAATGAGAAGTTATCATAGCTAGATCTCGTAAACGGTAAGAGATGAAGACACCAAACTTAAAGGAGTGGTAGATCTTGAAGAGTAGGCAAATATATATGGGTTAAGATCGTCCGCCGTCACTTCCGGTTGTCACAGGAAGTGACAAAAGAAATTGAAAAATTCAACTTTTCTTAATGGAAACCCTTTTGCATCACATTATAGCATTTTATTTGTAGTTTTGAAATATGTCAGTATCACCGGAAACAAAAACGACAACTTCCGGTTATAAGAGAAAAACTAAATAATTTGAGTATTTTTCTTCACATTAATATTTTTTATAGATAAAGTATTTGTAATGATTTTTTGATGTATTATTCAGACTGCAACTGTTTGCAGTAACGTCAAATATCTTTGTAAAATTCACTTCCGGTTGCGTGATTTCCTGTCCTCAAAATAAGAAGTTATCATAGCTAGATCTCGTAAACTGTTAGAGATTAAGAAACCAAACTTATAGGAGTGATATATCTTGATAAGTAGACAATTCCACTGGGTTAACATTGTCCGCCGTCACTTCCGCTTGTCACAGGAAGTGAACAAATAAATAAAAAAAAAATTCAACTTTTCTTATGGAATCTTTCTTAGTGATACTTTAAAGCATCTTATTTGTAGTTTTGAAATATGTCAGTCCCACTGGAAACAAAAACGACAACTTCCGGTTATGAGAGAAAAGCTGCAAAAATTTAGTATCATACTATCCCATAAATTTTTTTTTCCTATAAAAAGAGCATTTGAAATAATTTAAGGACATGTTATTCAGACTGAAATGTCTAGAGTAACCTCAAATATCTTTTCAAAAATTTACTTACGATCATGTGATTTTTTTGTCCTCAAAATGAGAAGATAACATTACGAGATCTCTTAAACTGTAACAGATCAAAACACTAAACTTATATGAATAATAAACCATGAAGATTGTGCAACAGATATAGGGTAAAATGCGTCCGCCGTTACTTCCGGTCGTCACAGAAAGTGATAAAAAAATTGAAAATGATTTTTGTAAATGTTATTAAGACTATAATTGTCTAAAGTAAGGTCGAGAATCTTGGTAAGTAACACCTCCGGTCGTTTGTTTTCCTGAAATCATTTAAAATATTAGGTGCCTTTTTTAACATAGATAAAAGCTCATCCATGCAGATAAATAGAGGAGAACGGAAGACCTTCTTTGTTGCTGTAGCAACAAGAGTTTCTAGTTATTATTATTAAGGTCTTCCGTTTCAGACGGAAGACCTTATATAGATTCTACTGTTTTTTCTTTTTATTATTATTAAGGTCTTCCGTTTCAGACGGAAGACCTTATAGTGATTCTACTGTTTTTTCTTATTATTATTATTTTTTTTCCCAAATCTTGTCGGCAGGATTTCTCAGAGATGTTTTTTTTCATTTTTTCAAAATTCACTTCCGGTCGTCAGATTTGTCCGATTTCCTGTTTTTTAAAAAATATCTAATCCGAGTGAGATCTCAGAAACGGTAAGAGATTAAGGCACCAAACTTACAGGGATGATAGATCTTGATAAGTAGGCAAATCCATTTGGGTTAACGTTGTCCGCCGTCACTTCCGGTCGTCACAGGAAGTGTTCATAAATATCGAAAATTTCAACTTTTCTTTTTTAAAACTTTTTTAACATCAAATTATAGCATCTTATTTGTAGTTTTGAAATATATCAGTACCACCGCAAACAAAAACGACAACTTCCGGTTGTAAGAGAAAAACTGCATATTTTCAGTATTTTTCTTTCCCATAAATATTCTTTATACATGAAGTATTTGTAATGATTTTTGGATATGTTGTTCATACTGCAAATGTCTACAGTAACGTCAAATTTCTTTGTAAAATTCACTTCCGGTTGCGTGATTTCCTGTCCTCAAAATGAGAAGTTATCATAGAAAGATCTCGTAAACGGTAAAAGATGAAGACACCAAACTTATAGGAGTTGTAGATCTTGATGAGTAGGCAAAACCATTTGGGTTAAGATTCTCCAAGGTCACTTCCGGTAGTCACAGGAAGTGATCTAAGAAATCAAAAATTTTAACTTTTCTTTTATGAATGTTTTTTTTTTGCATCACATTATAGCTAGCATCTTATTCATAGTTTTGAAATATATCAGTCCCACTGTAAACAAAAACAACAACTTCCGGTTATAAGAGAAAAACTACATAATTTGAGTATTTTTTCTTTCCCGTAAATACTTTTAATGGATAATGTATTTGTAATAATTTTTGGATATGTTATTCAGACTGCAAATGTCTACAGTAAGGTCAACTATCTTTTTGGAATTACTTCCGCTCGCGTGATTTCCTGTCCTTAAGATGAGAAGTTATCACAGAGAGATCTCGTAAACAGTAAGTGGTGAAGACACCAAACTTATAGGAGTGGTAGATCTTGATGAGTAGGCAAATCCATTTAGGTTAATATTTTTCGCCGTCACTTCCGGTTGTCACAGAAAGTGATCAAATAAATAAAAAAAAATTAACTTTTCTTTATGGAATATTTCTTAGTAATATATTATAGCATCTTATTAGTAATTATGAAATATGTCAGTCCCGCTGGAAACAGAAATAACGGTTATGAGAGAAAAACTGCATAAATTTAGTATCATTCTTTGCCATAAATATCTTTTATAAAAAAGATTATTTGAAATGAATTCAGGACATGTTATTCAGACTGAAATGTCTAAAGTAACCTCAAATATCTTTATTTTAAAAATTTACTTCCGGTCATGTGATTTCTTCTCTTCAAAATGAGAAGTTAACATTACGAGATCTCT